GGGTGGGAATTAACTGGTGGCTTCGTTCCAGCTGTGCGCTCGTGACCTTGGTCCCTGTTCAGAGGTGGAGTAGTGAAACTTCAGCTTGCACACTCGTGTGAGCTCAGGTTGCGCAGAAGGGCTTTATTTGGCACCTGTGGTTCACGGCGAGCACTGAGTGGAGATGTTGTGATTGCACAAGCTTCCTCGAACTGGAGTGCTGACGTAACGGAGGGTTTAAGTAATGGAGATAAGATCGTTGCACCCTGCGATACAAGTCACCTTTGTAGATATAAAATGGCTGCCAGCAGGGAGGGACAGCCATTTTAATTGTTAATATAGAACCTTAACAAGTCTTGAGCCCCGTTTAAGTCATATCCAGTGAATCACTAGCTGTGTTTTTTACTAGTTACATAAATGCTTTTAATAGCAGCTTGCTACCTGTGCTGCTGGGATGTGTGGAGTTTTGTGCAGGTAGCTTTTTAATGTGATACCATCAGGATCTTGAAGTGGCTACTTTGTACTTTAAAGCTACTTTTTCTTTTACTGTTTATTTTACTGTGAAAAAAAACCCCACACAACCTCTGTAGAGCTGCAGAAGAAAACCATTCAGTTCATACTGATCTAGAAGGCAAATGGTTATTTTGCATTGTAGATGCAATAAACTGCTTTTAGAATAGACTGAAGATAAAATACCTTGAAAATTCTGCTTGGAGGGGGAAAAAAAAAAACTATGGTGTTAACTCCTATCCTTTTCAGAAAAGGTGTATGCTTACCTAGTAAACGAAGGGTATTAAAGTTCAAACCTGTGCAAACAAACCTCTCTTCAAAATTCCACACAGAACTACTCATGGTAGGGTTTTTTATTTCATATAGAAGACTGACCACAGGAGGGGAAACGAGGAAATTGTCATGTGCAAAACATGCTGATAAACTGGATGAGCATTGTTGGTGTGTTTGATTGTCCTTGAACTTTTTGCCTGTGTGTCATAATGTTTGTTGTTGTATAAATGACTTGCTGTATGTAAATGATTATCTTCCCCCTCCCCACCCACAACAGGAACAGAGACTGGGTATTACAGAACAACGATGAAAACGGAACCAGCTTCTGAAAGTACCTGCATGGAGAAAACGGTGGTTAGGAAAACGGATGATATGACAGACTTCATGGATGACTTAACCCTCAGCTCACCGAAGAAGAGAGAGTCGTCTTTGAGATCGAAGAGAAGTTGTGATAGGTCATCAACAAGGTCATCTAGCAGATCCTCTTGCAGTTCACGGTCCACTTCAAGTAGTTCCTCTTCAGCTTCCTCCAGGAGTTGCAGCCGGTCCAGATCCCGGTCAAGGTCATGGGCTAGAAGAAATGGTTCCCGAAGGTACAGAAGATACTCTCGTTCGTATTCCAGAAGCCGATCGAGATCACGTGGCTACATCAGGTACCGAGCAAGGTACCATGCCAGGCACTATAGGAGGTACCACCGCTCTCCCCCGAGGTACAGATCACGCAGTAGATCGTGGTCTCGTGGAAGATCGTATTACAGAAGGTCCTATTCGAGAAGCAGATCACGTTCAAGAGGCCGAAGATACTATGGATTTGGACGAACAATTTATCCCGAGGCTTACAGGAGCTGGAGAAGCAGGTCACGAACAAGATCTCGGAGTAGGTCACCTCTCCATTTGAGTGAAAAAGGTACTTTTTTTGAGACTTGGATTGTGAGAACCTCAAAACATACAGTTTATTTTAACCAGTCAAATTCTCATTTGTGTACTTGCTTTATAGAGCATAACTGATAATGGCAATGTGGAAGAAAATCTGTGTGGTTATAAAAAAGTATTTAAAAAAACGTTACCTAGTTCAGAGCATTTTCTTTGCACTTCAATTGAAACTAAATCTCTCAAGTTCTGAGGAAAATTCATCACAATTGATGCTTACAAACATGCAGTGATAGTAAACTGGCAGGTTTTAGGCTTGTATGAGTAGGTACATGTTGATTTAAACATAAGAAAATGACACTTTTTTTTTCTATTGTAGATAAGAGGGAACTTCTGGAAATTGCGAAAGCTAACGCTGCAAAAGCTCTGGGAACAGATAACATAATCTTGCCAGCAAGCTTGAAGATTCTTCCTCATCGCAAAGAGATAAAAACTGAAAAACAAGAGCATGAAGATCCTGCAGAGTCAGCTGAGGTAAGTATGAACTGGCACATTCTCACTGAAAAGGTAAACGCTTGTTAAAACTTGTCGTCTGCATGGATGTGTTATAGTTTTTAACTGTGGACTTCGTGATTATGAATTCAAATCCTTGTGATTATGAATTCAAATCCTTGAACAAAATCTTCAGATTTACCAGAATGCTAAAAACTACTCTAGAAACCACTGTAGCCTTCGCCTTAAGCTGGAAGTACTACGGACTCTTAAGAGGTGGTTGATCCACGAGTACGTGCAGGCTTCCCAGTAGTGGTAGGCTGGGAAGGAGAGGCGAACGTAGTCTGTTCTTTTGAGTTGTTTTTCTTGCCCATTACTTAGACTAGTTTATGTGTTTCTGACCTAAAACCAGGAGTCTCCTTCCCAAACCTAGCGAACAGTGTGGGATTTTTTAAAGGTTAAATCTTTCTGCCCTTTTTAACTGTTAAAAGTTTTTCATGTGCAACAAACTTGTTTCCCAGAAGTTACATACCCAAGCACACAATGCATTTTACATACTTTATTTCTGTCTTATAGAAATCATGACTATGGTTCCAGACATGATGAAGAAAATCTGTTGGTAATTAAGGGACTCGTGGGCTATAGCTGCTGTGAATTTAAGGGAGGGAGAAACTCGAACAGCTTAAACTGAATTTGAATTTTAGTTTGGCGCTGTTTGTTGTAGTGTGTTGACCTGATTCGTGGTAAATACAGAACTGCAATAACTGTTAACATCGATCAGATACTGCTATTTCAAATGGAAGTAAACTTACTAAGGGTTTTAGACAAATGGTACAGGCATCCCTTTCATAATATATGCAATATATTCCAGATGTTGAGAGAGTACAGAAGAAGAGGCCTGCATCACTTGCAGATAAGTTTATTGTCATTATCCAAAGCTCTGGAGGATGGATATGCAGAACTTAATGCAACTTACTCTGCTGTTACACTTCATTGTATGACAGTCCATGCTTTGAATTGTTTGACTAAAAGTGTAACTGGGGCATGGATAGCTGGTCACATGTGAATTGGCACCATGACATTGATAAAAATACTGAATGTTTTTTTGGAATTGAGTTCAGCATTGATCTGTTGGCATATTTAGTAGCTTTCAGCTACTTTTCATGTAAATATCTGAAACAACCCTGCAGAAAGTTCATACTCTCTAGTAAACTGCCTTAACTTGCACATAATGATGTGTCCTCCCACTGAAGCTGTGTGTGCTCTTCTCTAGCAACCCAGAAGACTAGCAGAAGACATGACCAAGAGTGGAATGGAGAGAGCAACCATACAGAGGAGCATTTCTTTCAGTCCTAATGTAAGTGTGATTTCCCAAGACAGAATTCCAGTACTCTATCCCTCCTGTTAGACTTTCCCCAGTATTGGTTGCCAGATTAAAGATCTTAATAGTAAAATTTGAATTTAATGGTTTGATAATTCCTTTCCTGCAGGAGTTAGATCAGTACTTCAGCAGTAGAGCACTGTAAACACACTACAGCAGTGTTTAAAATAGATGTGCTTATTGAATGCCCGCCTGTGCCACACTGTAGACTCAAAAGTGTATGCCAGAACTGGTTTACACCAAGTTTACTTCATGTTACATGTTTGGATACATTTTAATAATGCAGAACTAAGGGAAAAGCAACTTCCCTGAATCCTGTGTTAATTAAGCGTACAGAGTCGATACTCAGTAGGTATCAGGTCTCTTGTGAGCTGGAAAGAAAATATTTGTCTTGCCAGCACATAAACCCCTTGAAGCTGGCAGGTCTTAGTACATTCCTTCTCATTCTAGGATGTTTCTTCTCATTCTAGCATTTTTAAAGGAAATTTCTTTTTCCAGAACACAATGGCAAAACCAGTACTACAGAAGCCAGCAAGCCATGTTGTTAAAGAACCAGCAGTTCCTCTGGGAAGAGAAGAGGACAGAAAGGGAAGTCCCTATGGGCAGTGGGTTCCTGTCAAGAAGGAGAAGAAGAAAACGTTTTCAAACTTCTCACCCAAAAGTGCACCATTGCGGGCACGCTAGCGTATTTTTCGTGCTGTCTCTGACCGCAGCATTTTGCATACTTCAGTAGTGATCTGAAATTTTCTGATCAGGTTGAAGACTTGTTAATACTCAGTATTTATTTTGAGATCTTAATTTTGGAATCTTAGGTTTCTCTTTCAGATATAGAGCACAGTGATCCAGAAGCCACAGATTGGAATCTTGTGTATATTTGTAAATACTTTTATATTGCTTTAATGGACTAGAACTTCCAGGTGGGTAACTTTTTCTAAACAATAGTTCAGTAGCTGTTATTTTGGACACTTGATTTACATTGTGTAACTGTTTACTTTGAGTAAATAAACTTTGGTATTGCACTGACTTCTTGATGTGTCACGTGTTGGACCTGTGTTTGGTAACCAGCTGACCGTGTTCTGTAAGTGGTTATTTCCAGGTTTAGCTTTCACTGACCCCTCTACTGTTAGCACAGAGTGCAAGAGAAGGCAGTTTTTGCTTCATTTTGAGTGAAGCTTTACATTGGAACTGTGCCTAGTGCAAGGCCTCCAGAGTAACTTCCCTCTGGAAGTAGAAAGTTTTTATTTGACATGTACCTGGCTGCCTTATGTGATGCCATCACTGCTCTTGCTGTTGAAAGGGTTGCACCTGAGCAGCTGTGACACTTATGTACCTGGCTGCCTTATGTGATGCCATCACCGCTCTTGCTGTTGAAAGTGTTGCACCTGAGCAGCTGTGACACTCTTGCTGACTTCTGATGCTGAACTTGACTTAGTACTGGCTTGTGTTTTGATTTAGGTGGCTTTAAAAGCAGCCTTGAAAGGCTCAGTGTGTCAGGCAGGCAGCAGGTCGTGGTACCAAGGGTGCAGGTTCACTGCCTGTAACCTAGAGCTCCAGAATTCAGCAGTGCAGCACACTCAGCTGCCTCGCTCACCACAACCTTTATGAAGCAAAGTATTGCGGGTTAAGTTGAGGCTGCTGCGTGGTTTTGGGTGCTATGAGTTAAAATTTGGTTTTTTTGTAAAAATAAATAGTTAGTAAAATAAACTGACTTTAACAGCTACAGTCTGGAAGCTTTGTTAAGAAACTTAAGTTGCCAAGACAGGGCTGGCAGATGTACTAAGGGTTATGTATTTTGTGCCAACTGGAAGTTAATGCTTGAGACAGGCCCTCCTCTTGCCCTCTGGGGGCTGTTTTGCTGCTGGGGCTGTGGGACAGCTGTGCTGGCTGGTGAGGAACCCCAGACTCAGCTGGGGGCAGCTGCTTTTTCACAGGCAGGTCATGTGTGTTCCTTGAGCACTTAAACAAGTGCTTTCAGGAACTTTGCTGGTCTTCACCTGCTGAAGAATAACACTAGTCTGGGTTCTGAATGGAGTTATCAGCGTTTGTGTTTATTTAGAACATGAAGCTGGTTGTTTCTGCAAGTAAAAGCTATGTACAGCTGGAGTTGTTAGGCAAATTCTATTACATTAAGTTGATTTTATGTATTAATGAAGTCTAGAAAGTATATTTTTGATACCACTTAAAACTGCTGGCAAAACCTCTCCACCAAACTTTAATTGACGTAGGGCTATCATAGCACTTTGCTGGAGCCGACAGCTCAGACAGCTGTTCCTCTCTCCAAGTTCTGTTTAATCTCAGCTGTGTACTTCCCGTAGAACCTCTCTGCCTTCTTGTTGAACTTGGCGTTCCTCTCGTTGATGTAGTCGATGTCTGCGTCATCGTTGTACGGGCGTCTTCGACTGTACTTCTCACGCTTTTCAATTCTGTAAGACAAACAGCAGTGGTTGAAATCCTGTGGCTCTGATTACACAAAGCTGCTCTATGTCACACACTTTGGTTTATCACGGTGTTTACTTACTGTTTTTCAAGATCTGCAACCATCCTATCAACCCCTTCCTTTGATGGCACGTGGCTTCCATGGAGGAGACTGTCAGATGTGGGATACAGCGCTTCACCACTGGACAAGAGCAACAGATGGGCAGCAGTTCACACAACGGCACTGATGGCTTTGAGACTCACTGCTGATTACTCCATTGTTAGTGTAACACTGGGAGAATGGGCTGGGTTGGAAGGGACCTTAAAGCTCCTCTAGTTCAAGGCACTTAAATTGTATTGAACCGTGGGAGTCCAAGATTCAGGTGGGAACATGTTGATATTAAACACACGCCCACTCAGTTATTTGAGATGCCAGAACCTGCCTATGAAATGTGTGGGCACCGAAATTGTAAATCTGAATTTGCAAGTTCTTGTCTGTCAGTCAGCCTGTTCTTCACAGAATCACACAATTGTCTGGTTGGAAGAGACCTTCAAGATTGAGTCCAACCATTCACCCTGCACTGCCAGGGTCCCTAAACCATGTTCCTCAACACCCAGCCCACACGGTTTTTAAACACCTCCAGGGATGGGGACTCCACCAGCTTTCTGGGCAGCCTGTTCCAATACTTCACAACCCTCTCTGTAAAGAAATTTTTCCTGATATCTAACCTAAATTTCCCCTGGTGTAACTTGAGGCCATTCCCTCTCGTCCTGTCATTCATAACATGGGAGAAGAGACTGACCCCCATCTCCCTACAACTTCCTTTCAGGTAACTGTAGAGAGCTTAAACCATGCCAGGCTGCTTAAAAAAAAAAAGTAATCTACTCCCCCATTTAGACTGACATTACAGTGTATGTGAGACTATGCATGTGCTGAAAGGATTAAAGTTTTTAGTGTTTGCTGATAATGTAGCAATGCCCCAGGCAGTATCAGGTGACTGACATCAAACTTACTACTGCTCCTTCAGCCTCTCGTACTGCTCCAGGTCAGGTTTGATCTGCCGCGTCAACCTCTGGTACTGGCGCAGCTGAGCAGCCGCGTAATCTTGGGAAGAAAAGGAATTAGCGTTGGGGTGACAGTTTTTATTTTGTGATTTGAGTTTGCAGCTGAAATACGAGCAAAGGTGTTTGTTATGGACACAGACAGTTATGGAGTTAAGCCGTTACCTGAAAATCCCAGATCGGGGTTTTTCCTCTTCTTTTTCCTTTCCCATCTCTCGGCCTCCTCAGCACTGATCTCCAGCAGTTTAACTTGCTCGTAGTCTTCTCCTCTCGCTGCACATTCCTAACACAGCACAAGGAACGCTTTAGTTTGAACAATAAGATGGTGGCCAAGCATCAAACTTAGTTGTAACTACCTGGATCAGTCCAGTCAACCTCTAGAGCAGGAGCCTAACAGGAGATGGATTTTTTGGGGAGGTAATGTCTGTATAGGCCCCCAGGACTGTCTAGCCGCCAGGAGGGGGGCTCAGCCTCACTGCAGGCACTTGGAATGAGACGCAGCAGGTTACAGGAAGCTGTAATTGTGTGTTTACCTTCTTCTTTTGCCCCCCCTTCAACTCCCCCTCCAGCCGAGCTTTTTTGGCTTCCCAGTTCGCTGGCAATTTAAGTCTTTTCTCTTCTTCCATCACTTCGAGGTGATTCAGCTTGCGAGCCTCATTCTAGGAACAAACTAGTTCATTAACGAACTCCAGAGACTCGTGGCCACGATCCATCACAAAAACAAAACCCCCAGAAGCCCCCGAGGATCACAGGTGCCCATCCCGGGACGGGTCACTGACCGCCCCACTCAAAACGCTGCGTTTGGTGAAGGGCTGAAGGCACCACCACCTGTACTCCATCCCTGCCGGATGGGAGTTCGACAGGATGGGCAATCGCGATGCGACGGGAGCAGCGGAGCGGCGGCACAGCCTCCCCGGGACCACCGGGCCGCGGCCGGCCTGCACCCGAGCTGGGCCGGGCAACCCCC